TCTCTGTAGCGGTACATGCATTTAGTTTCTCTGCAGGACCAGGATTTCATTTATAATACACACATCACCGAATCATACAATTTTGTTGCCAGAAACAAAACATACTTGAGTTAATACTTTGGGGAGACTTTATAATTCCCTCAGAAATGCTTTGCCTTTGTTGCAGGCAGAGAGTAGGGGACCATTGGTCATGTATATTGGGAAAAACATTGGAACAGAAATCTGCCCAAAGGCATGAAGACTTTTGAGACATAGGAGCTGTCCTTTAAGTCCAGTGAAAAACTTGCGAAATAGAGAATTCCATCCCAGAGTATGACTGGACACTCTGGGAGGAGAGGATCCACTCTGGAACTAAGATCATCCAAAGAATATTTAAAAAATATAACAACAGCTCGTTTCTTCTACTTGGCAACCACATTAGCAACAGATGTTGGGGATGGAGTGGAACAGTTTGGCAAAACTATATATAATCTAATTTGACAAAAAGTGCACGTCCCCCCACCTCCCCAAACCAATCACTCCCTGAGATGTGAACTTTCCCTTTTTTTGGCAGGTAGACCACACCCCATGGTGCTCAGGGTCACTCTTGAAGGTCTTGGAAAGTCATAAATGATGCTGAATGTCTCCACATTCCTGCCTACGATGTGTACTTTATAGCACATATTCTCTTCCTTGACAATTCACTGCAGATCTACTTGGGATGTACACTCACTTTTCCCACTCTGGAGCAGCCTGTGTTCATGCTTGAGTATGTTTATCTCTCTTTTCCTCTTATTCTCCAAATAAAGTTTTATTTCGCTTTGAGTTCTCAACTGTGAGATATGGTTCCAGTTTGTTTTTACATGTGGTCATTCAGTTTTGCCAGTACCATTTGTTGAAGAGGCTGTCTTTACTGCATTTTATGATCTCAGCACCCTTGCCAAAAATTAGCTGTCCATATATGTGGGGGGTTATCTTTTAATACTCTATTCTGACCCATTGGTTAGAGGGTTCATGCTTATTCCATTACCATGCTGTTTTGATCACTATGGCTTTATAGTATACTTTCAAGTTAGGTTATGAGAAACACCCAGTTTCTTATTTTTCACTATGTTTTTTTTTCTACTCAGGGTCTTTTATGATTCTACACAAACTTTATTATGAACTGTTTAAGTTCCTGAAGAATAATGTCTGAATCTGGAAAGGAATTGCATTGAATCTATATAGTAGTTTAGGTAAGATAGTCATTTTGACCATATTGATTCTTCCAATCCAAGAGCATGGAATCTTTTTCCATTTTCCAACTTCTATTTTGTGTTTCGTATATTTTATTATATAGAAATTTCTCATCTCTTTTATTTGTTCCTAGGTACTTGCAGTTCTTGGACACTATTTTGAATGGGATAAAATCTTTGATCTTTCCTGATTATCAGAATGCAACAGATTTTTGCATATTGACTTTGTAGCTGGCCACTTTGCTGTGTTGTGTCTTCATTTAGTGCTCTTTGGTCTTCACTGACATTCTGTCTAGTTGATCTGTCCAGCGATGACAGTGGAGTGTTGAAGTTCCCCATCAGAATTGTGCTTGCATCCATGTTTCTTTAGGTTTGTGAGAAAAAGCCTTATGAACTTTGCTGATCCTACATTTGATGCATATGCTAATTAAATTTAATACTTCTTGATCTATTGTTCACGTAACCAGTAAGTAGTTTCCATCCCTGTCTTTACTTTCTTTAAACTGAATTGTTTGGTCTGATATAAGTGCAGCTATCCCAACTTTTTTCTTTTTACCATGGCTTATGACTATTTTCCATCTTTTCACTCTGAGCCTGTATCTATACTGTGAATTTAGATGTGTTTCCTGTGAGCAGCAAATAGATGGATGTTTCCCTATCCATCCTGCCACTCTGTGTGGGGCTGTGAGTTCTCTGGGATGCGAGTTCACTCGTGGCCACCAGCTTCTGTAATAAATATTCCTAATTCAGCTTCTATGTCTTCTGAAACTCCCTTCCAGCAATGATACATTCTTTTGAAAGTATCTGGTGGTGACAAACTACCAGTTTTGAGACTCTCTTTTCAGAAATAGCTGGGTCAATTGGAACAAAAACTCATAAAATGGGAGAGGGGAATCACTACTATTTTCGTATTAAAAAAACCCACTGTTCATACTAAAGTTCAACAACAAGTTGAACTTGTTTCTTATGTAGATCTAAAACCAATAAGAAGAGTTAATCCAAAAAGTGTTCTGACTAATTGCAAAGTTGATGCGGATTACAGGTACATTTCCCTTAATGTTGACAGCTTTGAGGAAGTCACTGATATGAATGCTTACAGTCTGGAGTCTCATTTCACAATTGTCAGAGGAAAGTTCAAAGACAACAAACAAGTCTTTCATTTTCTGAGTCCTCAAGCATAAACTCCTGTCCACTCCCAGTGCTGGGAAATGAACCCAGGAAACATGTAAGGCAAATGTTCTATTGATGAGCCCCAATCCCAGGCTCCTGAGCAGCAATTCTAAAAAAAAAAAAAAGACAAAAGAATCCACTGAACATAACATAAAGACATAGTAAGGGAGAAACGAATGGACAAAGACAACAGAATGTAAGAGATGGTCCACAAGAACTGACCTAACCTGTGGGGGAGCCGTGAGGATGGGAAGGGCCTTTGGGATATAGGTAGAGGGAAGCAGGCATTTGGAGGGGTCTCTGTGTGTGTGTGTGGGGGGTGGTGGTGTCGGAATAATGAATGCACGGAACTGTAACAGTAATGTAAATCTTGGTGGCTGAATTAACAATGGGAGCCAAAATTCCACTCATCTACTGGTCTTCATGTCTGTAAAATTGTCATAGTGATACTCCTCACGCAAATTTACTTCTTATACTTTCCAATCTAGTAATAACAGCAGTAATAACAGCATCTAACTGTAGGATATATTGCCCTGGGGTGTGGGGTTCGGGTCTCTTACTCTTTCGAAGTCCTTGATCTAAAACAGATGCTAAGTTTATTTCTTGTATATATGTCCGTTTCTTCCATTCTGAACAGGGCTGGGAACTCAGGCAGCATAGCTTTGCCTCTTTCCCTTCTTACCAAGTTCTCCTACTTAATAGGGCAATAGGAAAAACACACATAACTCAGATACTCAATATTAAAAAGAACAACGAAGAAGACAGAAGACTTACCAGGTTACGGGTAGCTCATTTGTAAAGTAGAAAGGGGGGGCGTGAAATGAGGCCAGTGGACCCGAGGAAACAGGAATGAAGGGCACATAGGATAGCTTTAGGCATTGCACAGACAGCCTGGACAATAATGGGGGATGGGGGGGGGGGAAGCTTCTCTCCTCTAATTGAATCTAGAAAGGAGGTGGCTGAAAAGATCCAGGATCTAAGAACTAGTTCCTGGTACTGTTTGTGTTTACATTTTCATTACCTCGTGATCTGACAATGCCAACATCAATAAATCTCCACAACACTGTAAACACCATCGCCTTATTATCTAGTCTACATCAGCCTGTGAGCTTTTATTGGCTAGTATGTGAAGACGCTGCATAAAACCAAAGTAAACATACACAAGGCAGGCCAGGTGCATATCTACCTGATCTCATTTCCAGGAAAGTTTGGTCATAAAAAAAGAGGGCAATGTGTGGATAGAGGCTAGTTTCACAGCCCCGCGGGCCTTTTGTTCTAAAAAAAAAAAAAAGCAAACAAAAAAAAATAAATAAAACGCCAATGCCACTGCAACCTTGCTCTCATCTTGGAGAATCAGAAACAAGTCTCCCGGGGTAAAGCTAACTCGGATGGAGGTATTCTTGACTCCCAGTGCTGTGCACTCCCCCACTTCTTCAGGTTGCATCCTACCTCTTGCCTCGAAACTACTACTCCAGGCAAACAGAGTGAGCAGATTGCAAAGCGGTTCGGAGGCCGTCCCCGACTCTTCCCGGGGCCACCGCTTCCTTATCGCAAGTTCTACCGGACGGGCCCGCGGCCTCTCCGTTCTGGGTTCATGCACTTAAACAAACAAACCAAGAAACCAAGAAGAAACCTTGCAACCCCAAAGCATGCGGCCAGATCCCTCCAGGTGCCTTCGTGCGCAGCTCGGGCCGCGGGCCGCCGCCGGGAAGCCCGCGTGCTCCTGGGGCCGAGCACGTGGGGCCGAGCAGGGCTGCAGCGGGCCGGGAGTGGGGGCAGCCGCTCCCCGCAGAGGTGGCGCCGGGGCCCGCAGAGGAACGGGCGCGGCGCGGCGCGGCGGGGCGCGGCCGCGCGTCGGGCCTCGGTCCCCGGAGGATGCTGGGGCCGGTCCCTGCGGCTCCGCGCCGCCAGCCGCCCGGCGCTCACGTCAAGGCCCGCAGCGCCGCCCCCTCCTCTCCCGCCGCCGCATCCCGGTCACGTGGGGGAGGCGGCCCAGCCAATGGGCGCCGGGCGCCGAAGGCCGGGGCTGGGCTGACCCCCGTGACGTCACAAAGCCGGCGCGGAGCGCGCGGCTCTTCCGCCCCCCGCCGCGCCTCCTTCGCCCCGCCCCCTGGCCCCGCGGCGGCCAATCGCGAGGCGCGAGGCGCTCCGGGGGGCGGGCGGAGGGGGGCCCGAACCCGAACCCGCGCGGCGGGGCCGGGAAGCCGAGTGGGCCGGCTCGGGGGCCGCGCCGCGGCGCTCGCGGGCAGCGGTGCAGGGGGGTCGAGGAGCGGCGCGGAGGAGCGGCGGCCGCCCGGTGCGTATTCCCGGCTCGGGGGGATTCCCGAAGCTGGGGGGGGCGCGGGAGGGAGGGAGGGAGGGAGGGGGCGGTGGGCCACGCCCGGGAGGGGTCACCGCTGCCGCCGCCGCTGCCGCCGCGGGGGGATCGGGGCGGCGCGCGACGGGGCGCACCCCGCCCGGCCCCCCGAGCGCCCCCCGGCGGGAGGGATGCGGCGCCCGGGGGCTGCGCGCGCCCCCCCCCCGCCGCCGCCCCGCCCGGCCCCGCGGCCCCGCCCCGGCCCCTCCCCCGCGCGCCCCGCCCCGCAGCATCCTCGGCCGCGCGGTCCCCGGGCCGCTGTCGCCGCTGCGAGCCGCGCGCGTGTGGATGTGGCCGGCGCCGGGCTGCGATGAGCAGCGGAGAATGTGCGTGTGCCCCGGGCCCAGGCGGAGTGGTAGGTGCGGGGACCCGGGGCAGGAGGCTCGCGCGTGTGTCTGTGTGTGTGCGTGCGTGTGTGTGTGCGTGCGTGTGTGTGTGCGTGCGTGTGTGTGCATGTGTGCGTGTGTCTGGTTCCAAGTGCGTTCCTCTGCTGCACGGCATTGAGCTCCGCTAGCAAAGACTCTGTGTGTGTGTTTGTGTGTGTGGGTGTGTGTGTGGGTGTGTGGTGTGTGCACGCTCGTGTGTGTGTGTGTGTCTGTTTCCAGGTGGGTTCCTTTGCTGCACGGAATTGAGCTCCGCTAGCAAAGACGTGTATGTGTGTCTGGTGTTTGTGCACGCTCGTGTGTGTGTGTGTGTGTGTGTTTCCAGGTGGGTTCCTTTGCTGCACGGAATTGAGCTCTGCTTGCAAAGACGTGTGTGTGTGTGTGTGTGAGTGTGTTTGTGTATGTGACCAAGGCATCCTGGCGAGGGGAAGAGCATTGGTTATTCCGTGAGTGCACTTTCGTGTGTGTGTGTGTGTGTGTGTGTGTGTGTGTGTGTGTGTGTGTGTTTTGGGTCGGGTGAGGAACCCGGGAAAGGAATCAAACAAGTGCGAGGGCTTCGGAGTCTGGCGAAGGCAGCCGCTGGCTTCTCACTCGCGTGCGGGGAGAAGAACTTGGGAGCTGCGCAGTGGCCCCGCGTGTCCAGGAGAAGCAAAAAAAAAAAAAAAAATAATAATTGCAGGAAGATCGCAGTGTTTGGGCAGGGTGTTGAGTGCCATCGGGTTACATAAACGGAGGCTCCGACACGTTGGAATCGAGTCGGGCATGGGCGCTGTCGTTTATCTCCGGAGCTTTTGCAAAACCCACGGCGTTGTTGTGATTGATTTGTTCCTTGCATCTCTTGATGAAGGTGGGGGGGTGTGTGTGTGTAGAGGGGTGGGGAATCAGTTCTTGGCACAGGTGCATGGGTCTCTCTCTTTCTCTTTTTGGATTTACAGTGCAGGATTCGTTATTAATCACTGACAGAATCGGCCAGATCTGCCTGGAAGAAAATGCTGCATGTCATCCGTCCCAGGCTGAATCATGGGATTAAGAACTTGCCCAAGAAATCGTAGTCAGAAATAACTTGCAATCTTGACATTTCTCCAGTGAACCAGCCGCGGCACCACGTTGCCATTCCTCTTGCCAAATCTAGCATGTTCGGCTTGATTTAATTGTGCAAGTTTCTCAGCAGAACTTTTTAGTTTCGTCGGGTTTTGTTCTGGAATCACAGGATATTCAGAACGAGAGTTTTAGAAGGTGCATTTATGCTTGATGAAAGCTTTTGAAAGTACTTTAACTTTTGAGGGCAGCTGGTCTCCTGGAGAGAATTTAACACTTGTGCTTGTGCTAATAGAATGCACGTTAGTCACAGAGCAGTGTTGTCTTCAGTTTCAGCCTCTCTCTCGTCAGAGGCGTGTTGGGAGTTGGGGAATTGGTTTGCATTCTCAGTTTATAAGCTAAGTTCCTTAACAACTCAGATACAGCTGATAAGACTCACCCTGGGTTTTTTGGTTTGTTTTGTTTTTTATTTTAAGAACTTTTGCCTAGAAGAAAAATCATACGATATTATCTGTCACATGAGTCATTAATTCCTTTTCCACTCTTATCTTATTAGGCTTGCAGTTAACTGCAGCAGCAAGCAGAAACACACACAAATTTAAGTGAAGTGCAGGTTCCCTGGATTCACTCCTTGATTGGGCTTATGATTCAATTCATATTTCACGGAGAAACACATTTTTTCCCCTCTAGTTATATTCTTAAGTTGTAAAGCACAAAAGCAAACAGTTATGAAGAATTTTTTTTTTTATTAAGACTGGCATCTACTTGATCATTTTTCATCATAGAAAATCTTTATGCAAGGCAGGAAATGTGTTAGTGTGCCTTCTGCTTGCACACAAACCTTCCAAGAGATAAGGGTCACGTATGGAACCCAGTGCCACGTGGCCCAGCATTAGAGCACATCTCCTGGCTCTGTCATGTACACTTAACCTTTGGATGACTTTCAGGGATTCAGTTTGAAGTGCTGCTATTTAAGTAGTTAGTCTTGAGAGGTTCTAGTTCTTCCGGAGCGTTTATTTTTCTCTTACAGCATGGCAGAATATTGTTACTGATCTCATTTACAAATTTCTGATCATTGCCTCCAGCACATAATCTTGTCTTCTGTTTTTTAAGCAAATCTCTTAAATGGTGCATTTGCATATCACGGTACTTTCTATCGCTTGCACAAGGGTTCTGTACGACGGACTTAGGCAGTGCCTATTACAGAAGCAATCGGGAATCGGTCACTCTGTGTTTAGTTTTCTCTGCACCTTCATGTTCCACTGTCACTTCTCAAATTACTCTTCAAAAGGTAGTATGTGAAAATAATGTAATATATAGCTAAGATTCTTTGATATTTCTGAATTTTTTTCCTAATGGATGCAAGAAGGGCTTTTCTTAAGAAGGGCTATTTAATATCAAGGCCCAAATGATTTTAATTTCTTTTTTTTTTAAATTTTTTTGGATTTTAATTTCTTAATCCTACTTGTTTACTACATTTGTGCTTTTATTTTCAATGATTTGATTTTGTTCTAATTACAATGCTGTGCCATTTTATCCAAACCTAAGCTATTGTTTTATTATTCTTTATTGTTGTTAAGTGAGGTTAAATATTTCCTGTGGATAAACTCTACTTGGAATTCCCAGTAGCTGAAAATAATATTTCCTTTAGCTTTCCCTTATGGCTAATAAGCAGAGGGAAATGCTTGCAATATATTAAAAATTTAATATCTATAAAATTTTAAATGGAGACCGATTATGTTACAAAATTTTAGAGCCTCTAGACCACTTTTTTTTTTTATCATGCAGGGTACAGTAAAATTAATAAATTTAAAACGATTTGATTTCAAACCCTCTTTTCAACAAATACTTACAAAGGTATAGAATTCTCGATGAGATCTTTGATAACATGTGACCCCCGTGTGTTCATGTATACTTAGGAAAATGAGCTCCACATTAGCCTGCTTTTCTTGGATCATTTGGCGAGTTGGTAACCAGACCTGTGCTCACTAAACTGTATGGTGGTCCAGAGAAGCGTTGTTTACAGCACGGCAGTCTCTGGGTATAGGAAGGAATATAGGATTGCTGCTTCTGCTCATTATATAAGCTTTCTGTATTATAGTGAACATATGATTACTACAGTAGTAAACGTTTTAAAAGTAATGCAGGGGTAAACATGTAGGGGCTAAAACGTGCTTCTTCGGTAATTGCATTTGTAATCTAGATATAATTTCTTCATAAATGAGAGAAGTTTCATGCAATCTGGGGATCCAAGTCCTTTTTTCTGGTTTTTTTTTGGGGGGGGGACTACACCCAATATTGTATGGTGGAGGTTGGGGGGGGGGGGAGTGCAGTTTCTGGTTCTGTTCTCATACCATGGGGTGGGTTGCTTCTAGTGGTACTGGGGACCATGAGATGCTGGGGGTTGAACCCTGATCTGCTGCATGCTTTGCCTTTTGAGTTACCTCTCCACCTGCCAGGGCCATTTTCAGTGATAGAGTGGGGAAGTAGTGATTGGCCAGGTGGACGGCGACTGCATTATGTTATATAATCTTCATCTCCTCAGATCTTCCCGGCCAAATCTATTGTACATTCTGCACAGTTTGTACTGCAAAAAGAAATGCGGGGGGAAAAAAAAAAAGGAGAAATGTAAATCTAGATCATTGTTCAGCCCTGGCTTCATAATGATTGAGGATTTTTTTTAGCAGAATATACCTTGTAGAAGAAGCACGCGTTAGAGATATAAAATGCAGTGCCTCCTTCCTTGTGCAAGGCTTAGAATGCAAGTTCCCCCGATCAGTTGTTAGAAAAGCAAAAACGTAGATGATCTGAACTGTAACTCTGTTTTGTGTATGTGTGTAATTGGCTCTCCAGGAATCCCAGCCAGAAGTTCCAGCTTGCCGCTGTTCACTGATGCCATGCCAGCACCAACGCAACTGTTCTTCCCTCTGCTCCGTAACTGTGAACTGAGCAGGATCTATGGCCCTGCATGTTACTGCCACCACAAACACCTCTGCTGCTCACCTCCTTATGTCTCCCAGAGCCGCCTGAGATACACGCCTCACCCGGCATATGCCACCTTCTGCAGGCCAAAGGAGAATTGGTGGCAGTACACCCAAGGGAGGCGATACGCTTCCACACCGCAAAAATTTTACCTCACGCCTCCGCAGGTCAACAGCATCCTGAAAGCTAACGAGTACAGTTTCAAGGTGCCAGAATTTGACGGCAAAAATGTCAGTTCTGTCCTCGGATTTGACAGCAATCAGCTCCCGGCCAACGCTCCCATCGAGGATCGGAGAAGTGCCGCCACCTGCTTGCAGACCAGAGGGATGCTTTTGGGGGTCTTTGATGGCCACGCAGGCTGTGCCTGTTCCCAGGCTGTCAGCGAAAGACTTTTTTACTATATTGCTGTCTCTCTGTTACCCCATGAGACGCTGCTCGAGATTGAAAATGCGGTGGAGAGCGGCCGGGCACTGCTGCCCATTCTCCAGTGGCACAAGCACCCCAATGATTACTTCAGCAAGGAGGCATCCAAATTATACTTTAACAGCCTGAGGACTTACTGGCAAGAGCTTATAGACCTCAACACCGGGGAGTCGGATATTGACGTGAAAGAGGCTTTGATTAACGCCTTTAAGCGACTGGATAATGACATCTCCCTAGAGGCTCAAGTAGGTGATCCCAATTCTTTCCTCAACTACTTGGTGCTCCGAGTGGCATTTTCTGGGGCCACCGCTTGCGTCGCCCACGTGGATGGTGTGGATCTTCACGTGGCCAACACTGGTGATAGCAGAGCCATGCTGGGTGTGCAGGAGGAAGATGGCTCTTGGTCAGCAGTCACGCTTTCTAATGACCACAATGCTCAGAATGAAAGAGAACTCGAACGGCTGAAATTGGAACACCCGAAGAATGAAGCCAAGAGTGTGGTCAAACAAGATCGGCTTCTTGGCTTGCTGATGCCTTTTAGGGCTTTTGGAGACGTTAAGTTCAAATGGAGCATCGACCTTCAAAAGAGAGTCATAGAATCCGGCCCAGACCAGTTGAATGACAATGAGTACACCAAGTTCATCCCTCCCAATTACTACACGCCTCCTTATCTCACTGCTGAGCCAGAGGTAACTTACCACCGACTAAGACCACAGGATAAGTTCCTGGTGTTGGCCACCGATGGGTTGTGGGAGACGATGCATAGGCAGGATGTGGTTAGGATTGTGGGTGAATACCTAACGGGCATGCATCACCAACAGCCAATAGCTGTTGGTGGCTACAAGGTGACTTTGGGACAGATGCATGGCCTTCTAACGGAGAGGAGAGCCAAGATGTCCTCGGTATTTGAGGACCAGAACGCAGCCACCCATCTGATTCGCCATGCGGTGGGCAACAATGAGTTTGGGGCAGTCGATCATGAGCGCCTCTCCAAAATGCTTAGCCTTCCTGAAGAGCTTGCGCGCATGTACAGAGATGATATTACAATCATTGTCGTTCAGTTCAATTCTCACGTGGTAGGAGCGTACCAAAACCAGGAGTAGCATGTGGGTCTTGTCCTGGCAGGTCTCAAAGCAGAGTTCAGGGCAGGTGGATTTTTGAAAGGTATTAACCAACAGTTCTGGTAGTTGTATTAAGCATTTTCCCATTTGAGGTTGTCGCGGTCAAGTACTTAAGATTGACTTTTTTCAGCAGAGTGGCAAAATCTCGGGAGAGTCATTCTGCCTACGACGCATCTATCAGCATGTACTTGAGGCAAGTTAGTTCTGTATTTATTATAGAGGTCTTATGATGTTGGCTTCTCCTCTCAGTCTGAGGAAATCAGGATGACCTGGATGATTTAGGGCATTTTCTCTTGGTCAAAGAGAAGAAACATGGTTCACACCTGCAGACCCCCCCCATCTTTTTTTTTTTTTTTTGGCATTTAAGATTTCCAGTGTTCACGAGAACCTTTCTTGCACAATTCCCTAGATATATAGTCTATTTTTGTTCATAAATATTATTTTTTTTATCCTGAGGTGGTTTTCAAATCCAGTTCTTTAACCCACAAATGACCAAGAGCCAAGCAATCTGAATTTGTATTTGTCATTATTTTTCTGGAATGCTTCTTAAGCAGAAAGACAGATTATACCCTTCCCTGCCCCCCGGTTGCCTAGTGTAATTGGAACTCTTTCTGTTATGCCACGCTTGAAATACAGTAAGTTTTAGTTTCATCTATTCTAATGTTGATATTAAATTTTAAAAAGTTGGTTTGCTAATGAAAAAGCTTTAATTTAAAAAAAAAAAAGAGCCAGAATCAAAAGATGAGACTGACAAATTTAGTTATTGTCACCGTTAGCCACCAGTACGTCATCCTTATGTAACCTGCAAAGGCTTGGCATGCTGTGTGTGGTGATGGAACTGCTGCCAGGACATTATATTTGTAATTCAGTAATGATAAGAATTGTCATTGCTTTTGGACTTTTTAAGGATGACATGCAAAATAAGTGGATATATCAAATTGGGGAATAAGGCTTAATATTACCTTTTTTTTGGAGTTTGAGACAGAGGAAGTTTTTCTTTTTTCCCTGCGTTACCATAAGTCAATTAAAATAGTTGGTTTAAAAAGTGCTAGATGCTTTTAAACATATTGTAGCTATAAATAGAATGTTAAGGTATATATAGTATTTTGATCATAACTATTATGCATGCTTGATGCTTCATAGAACACTCAGTGGCATCAAATGTGGTTCACAGCAGTCTTTATAATATATGCATTTCCCTCTGATGCTGTTATCGAAGTAAATCAAATTAAATATATTCAATTCGGCTTTCTGGGAGCCTATTTGATATGCATCAAACTGGCATTTTGTTTCTGTGTTTAATGGTGATCTGTGTGCAGCTGTGCATAAATTTTCATCACTTATTCTAGCGTTAAAGGAATGGTTCTGATTATATCGGATATTCATATAGAGTTTACTGAAAAACACGATCAACTTTCCCTTATGTAAATAGGTTGTGTTTAGGAGCCCTTTCAGATTTCTGTAGAATATCAACTGGATTTACTCCTGGACTGTGGAATTAGCTGCAACATTTGTCCCAGCTGAGGATAGGTTCAGGAAGATTGCAGCCCAGAACATCATATATATTCGGTTTTTAAAGTCTTGCTCCCTATCCTCTCCCTTATTTTTTCTCCCTTATTTGAGTCAGTTAGGAGCATTTCCGAGAAGTATTTTGTAGAGAATAAAATCTCAACTGTATATTTATTTATGAATATTTCAAGAGACTGCATTTTTTCATAAAATATATGTAGACTTCAGTAGAACTTAAAATTCATTTTCTGACTACTATTTAAATTTTTCTTGAACACCATTAAAGAGTTCCATATTATATATTTAATAAAGCCCCATATCTCTACAGTATATTTAAATTTAGTTTCCTGTAGTTCTAGTAATTCTGATCATTACACCAAAATGTTGCTGTACAGTTTGAAAGCCAGTCTGTTCTCTATAGATATGAAAATTCAAAATGTGGAGTTGAAATTGTAGAAGTGAAAAGAATTGTATGTTAGAAATCAGAATTTAAAAGCAGTTGTGATTATGATTGGTTGTTAACTCTACCTAGAATTAAAGAACACATGTAAATTTTTATGGTACTTAGCTTTTCTTAAGCTTTTAAAGAATAAACTTTCTAATGTATCAACTTCTGTATTTATATTTAACCATGGCTTATAATATTTATAATACGCCCATAAACAGTTTATTGTATTGGTGGCATAGCACACAGTGCTCACTTGGAGAAATGTGTATATTGTAAAATATGTATCTGTGTGAAGACCTGTGAAAAGTTTATGTATAATATAGTGAATGGTCAGATAAATGCCCACAGTAAATTAAAGCTTTACATCTGCTTTCTGGATGACCTGTGTTGGTTTTGAATAAAATTCATTACATGCTTTCTGTGGTAGTAGATTGGGACCCCAACAGACACATAGTACTTTGTCTCACAGCTGTGTTGTAATTTACAAGATGCATTTTAAGTGTATGGTTTGAAACATGGTAAACACAATTCAATAAAGATAAAGAACTTTTACATTTACTCCAGAAAATTTTCTCATGCCCCTTTGCAGCATTTCTCTACATACCTATTGTTCTGAATTTGTTTTCACAAATCAGTGCTATTTTTACTCAAATATGTTAAATAAGTGAAGTACTCCTTTGTGTCTGTTCAGTTCATTGAGATTATGATTTTATTTTCACTCATTACTAACGAGCATTCTGTGTTATATGAATACTACAGTTTATTTATTATAGATGGGTTTGTTTAGTCTCCCAATCCCCTTTTTATTCTTTTAATTTTTTGGAGGGGGCAGTATGCAGGAGGCCCCAAGGGCCCCTGGTGCCGTTGGGGCCCGTGGTTCAATGCAGGGGCCTGAGGCTGTGATGACGCTAGAATCCTGCAGTGCTGGCTGGGCCATCCTGAAACCTTTGGGGGCCACACGCCCTGCATGACTGGGGCACTTTGTGCCAACCGTAATCATTGTACTCTCTCCTAGCCTCTGATCACCTTTTAAAAGATAACTTTTAAGATGACCAATTTTCAGGATTACTGTTCGGTGAAGTACAGCTTTGGTTTTGCAAAGATAATTATAGTAGAAATGTTCCATGTCTGAATGGTAAAGAATAGGACACTCTTTGTTCAGTTAAGAAGCTGTCCTTTAAGGACCTGGAAAGGCAGTATAGTATGTACAGCAGATAATGTGTTTGCACTCAGCTGCCCAACTGCATTCCTGACACTGCACTGGGAGAGATCCCTGAGCTCAGAGCCTGAGCATAGCTGGATGTGTCCCTCCCTCCCCCAACACACACACACACATGAAACAAGCAAACAGATAAAATACCCTTTAAGTGCTGAAGAGATTTTGTGGTGGAATATTTGTAGAGTTCAGGGAATAAGTCTTTTGCAATGCATCTCTACTACTGAGGATTTTGTCGAGTTAATTAGATTTTCTAAATGAGCTAATTACTATCCTATGAGAAAAAGTTACATACTTTTGTTCAAAAAATTTGTTTTGTTTTGTTTTGGGGCCACACCTAGCAATGCTCAGGGCTCACCCCTGGCTCTGCACTCAGGAATCACTCCTGGCTGTGCTCAGAGGAACGTTGGGGATCAAACCCAGCTTGGGAACCTGCAGGGCAGGCAATCTCCCTGCTGTACTCTCTGCAGCCATTTTTTTATTTTTTATTTTTTGGCTTTTTGGGTCACACCTGCGATGCACAGGGCTTACTCCTGGCTCTGCACTCAGGAATTACTCCTGGCGGTGCTCAGGGGATCATGTGGGATGCTGAGAATCGAACCCGGGTCGGCCACATGCAAGGCAAACGCCCTGTCCGGTGTACTATCATTCCCGCCCCCTCCAGCCATTTCTTAAAAAAAATTTTTTTAAAGAAGTTTCTTTCCCTGGGGAGCCCAGATAGAGGGGGTGGGCAGCTCGTCAGGGCACATGTTGGTGATCCCTAATTCCTGAGCTCTCAGGATTGCCTCAGCACAGTCATCCCAGGCAACTTGTAGCCCTGCATTTGCCAGGCAGGTGCTTCAAGCCACTGAGCCATATTCCAGGTCCTACACTTTGGGTTTTCCATGGTCTTCGATGTCACTCTGACATCCATGATTAGGAGGCGAGGATGGTGTCTGACTTAAGTATTTCTGCTTCTATTAATGCATGTTGTTAATAAAAGCAGAACCTTGAGAGGTTCCATATGGCACCTCTCAAGCAGTGCTCAGTGCCAGTGTGGTGTTGGGGTTCACTGATGTGCCACCTAGGCTCAGCTGGGCTGGGGGCCACCAGAGCCGACCTTGCAGTGCTCAGGGGCCAGCATGCATACATGTAACCATGTAACTGCTGGTGAGAGAACGTGGGGACTACCACATGCAAGGCTTACAGCCCAATCAATCCTTTCACCTCTCCCTCTTGCCCAATAGTTGTGTGTGTAACTTTGTTCTTGAATATAGCAGCGGGTTTAGGTGATGGTTGACCCTACCTGATTCCACCTTTTTCATAAATAAAACAAGTGCTATTATAGATCATTTCCCCCCTTCAGTTCTTCAAAGGCTGTGTCCTGGACAAACCAGATAAATGAAGATATCTTCATGATGTCAGAACTGAACTGACTTACAATATGAAGGTCATTTCCTTTATTTCTTTCAGAACTTGTTTTGAATGCCAAGCTTAATCCTATTAAATCTTGTCTGCCCTGTTCTTATGACATATTTATACCTTGAACTGAATCCTAATAATATAGAGCATTTTAAAAATAGCCCTCAGATTACAGATCTTCAAAGTGAATGTATTAGAAATGATGGAATCCATACATTTTATGTGCTAATCATGATTGCCAATACACATGATTTTTAAGAAAAACAAGTTAGGCTTGATTATTCAACCAGTATTTAGGTTTAGTACATTATTTTAGTAATGTTGAATTTTTACTTCATTTGTCCACCAAAATGTACGTGAACAGTGCCCATATATCTTGCTTCTAACCTTGAGCCAATAATACTGAATAAGAGTTGTTCAGCATTCACTTTATTTTTCATCATACATAATAAAATAAGCTTAACTGAACTTTAAGATGCAATATTCATTTATCACAGATAGAATACAGTCATCCTTGTATCTGTAATCATGTTTTGTAGTTAAGGTTCAAGGATTTCTAAAATTTGAACTGGTTTCCTGTTGTTAAGAACTAATATTTAAGAGAAAAATATATGAAGTGCCTGTCTACATTTGGCCCCATTCATAGAGTAAGACCTTCAGGGAAGATAGTTTCTTAAGTTCATTGGGAGAGACCACAAAGACTCAATTGTCAAGTGCGTCAATTGGCCAAAAAGTCAATTAAATTTCCCCCAGTAAAACTGCTAAATGGTTCCCTTGTAGCTCATTACCTTTTATGTACAGACTTGCAGGAATGCGCTTTTGAAATATCTGTGCCCTAACTCCCAAAGACCTGGAGGATGTTTCATGCTGGCTCACCTTACTGCTACTCCCAGAGGTGGTGGAGCGAGTTTTCTTCTAGTCACACTGCTCTGCTTTTGTAAACCGTATCGATTCACTGGCTTTCTGCCTGCAGCTCACATCCATATTGCAGTGAATTTTACTTCAGCACCAGGAGATTAGCGATCACCACGCTCGGCCTTTCTGAAACCTCCAATCTCGGGTGCTGGATAACAAGCGTCCAAGAAGAGTCAGAGAATACCAGCCCTTATCTCCCCGGAGTTGATTAATCTGTTTGTTTCTCTGAAGGGAACAGTTTGGCCAAGAGGCCAGCCCTGGCCTGAAAGCTGAGAAGAATGGGGAATATGACAAGAGACCCAGGAGGGGAAAACAGCTAGGGCAGGCAGAGAATGGTGTGGGCAGTCTCAGCAGTGATTAGGGAAAATCACGGAGGCAGACAGCCTCAGAGCGGCTGACCCTTTGGAGCAGTGACTGGACCAAAAGCAAGGCAGGGGGGAAAAGCAGCTGGCCGAGTGGTGACATAGAAGGATTTTGAAAACCATCTTCAAGCTCTTGCGAAGTCTATTTTATGCTAGAGCATCAGCAGTTGGGAGTGCAAGATGGTTCCCATTACCATGACCGTTCTGTCTTAGCTCATTAGGTAAGAGGGAAGGAGGAAATAGACCATATGGCCAGGGAGGTGTGGGATCCAGGTAGATGATTTTCTCCAAAGAACTCTACTTGAAATCAGTTTTTCTTGCTCCACACGTGGCGATGGGTTATGCAGCCTGGTTTAGCCCATCTGAAACAGATTGGATCATTGAAACACTGGTAGCAGGGCAGATGGCAATGAAAGTGACCGATAGCGGGACCGGCTGACCACCAAGTCAGGTGACACAGTTCTTGCTTCGAGGAACTGAAACGGCATCTGACAGCACCAAGCTGCCTCCCAACCACAGCCAGCCTGTTTTCCATTGTCCTGACTGCTGGGTACCAGGCCCTGCGGAGTGTCCACTCTGGCGGTCTTCTCATATAATCAGTGTGCTGGCGAGTGTCACACCCATTATTTAGCTCTTCCTGCTCTGTTTGGAGGGCCAAAAGGCTGAATCCTGTAGGCTGCATCTCATTAGCTCACTTCCTCACTCTGGTCTCCCTCAACCCTTGTGAACTGCTACAGGTGACTGAAGGGCAGAAAGAGAGGGATGCCAAGGTTGTGCTTTGTTTCCGTCATGCTCGACTCACCTCCGCCATTAACTTCTCTCCACCCTTCTCTCCTCTCTCTCGATTCCAGTCCTCAGTGGGCTCAGAGAATTGTTCTTCCCCTGGTCCTTTCAAATAGATGATTTCTTGCTATTCTTGGTGTGTCACCCGCTCGCTCCTTGCTTATTCTCTCATCCAGGCTCTTATCTCTGTTAGTAATCCTGTTGTGGACACTCGGGTGAAATCAGTTTCTTGCCAGGCCCTGACCAATGTAATCATTCGTAAGCTCAAGAAATTTTCTCTCCGATTTTTCTTTTCTACAAAGTGGCTAAGTAACTCATCCAACAGTACAAAAACCAAGTAAACCCAGGACTGTGCATTTCAGTGCCTGTATCTTGACTCACCCCTTCAGCCTGTCTGGCCTTGAAAGTATCCTTTTCAGAGTGAGAAATTTGAGTTCAGATCCTTCCAGAACTGAGAAGATGAAACAGTGGTCAAGTGTCTAGCAGGGACATGTCCTCTTGAGAAACAAAGGCACAGAGGCTTTGAAGGAGCAGCAAAAATTAGTGTCCCCCAGAAAAGTCAGCTCAGGTAGAGAAGGGAGCACCAAATAAAGGGTGTTGGGAGGATCCTCCCAGGATGGGAGATCCGTGCTGAGAGTGGACTGGACTGAACATGATAGCCACTCCATGTCTCTTTTGCAAACCACAACACCCAAAAGGAGAGAAAGAGAACAAGGGGAAATGCCCTGCCACAGAAGCAGGG